TTTAAGCTTTTTATTGTGTTTATAGTCTATCTTCAATGTAAAAATGTATGATAATAATTAATAATAATAATAATAGTCCAACCATCAGTACAGTCTCTGGCAACCTCCGACACCCTGTGGTCATGGGGTTTCCCCGTCAGTAATAGTACCGACGATCCTTTTTTATAAAATAAAAGAAAAAATATGTGAAGTTTTCAAACATAAATAGATCAGATGCAGAGAAGAAACGAGTTACCTGTAAACTAGATGTTTTGAAAAGTTTGTCAAGAACTTTTTAAATACTAGCACTCTGTTAACAACAGAGACATAAACTATTATACTAATTTTTAGTTTAAATCATTGTTTCAATCTTGGGAAAATTATGATGCGGAGGCAATAATTGATGTTTTTCGAAAGAAATGCGATTATGGGAAAGCAGAACAATGGAAGAAAAACGAGTAATTTCAGATAGATTTTGAGATGCAACTTTGGAGGACGATATCTTTTGACTCGCTTCATGGATTCCTTATTATAATATGTTTTTGGAAAGCTCAGGAAGTTCTCTACACATAAAATTGTTTATAATATTCCGATAAGTTTCAAGTTCTAAGATATTCGTCTTCAGGCTTAGCTGTGTGGGAAAATGCTGGGGTATGTCGGAGTGGTGGAGTCCAATTGGGATACACGTGCATTAAATGTATTTTAATTATCTTTGCTCAATACCAGTAAATTTATACTTTTGCCCTGATTTATACTTTATGGTATTTCAATTATCAGTATCAAATAATTTTCTCAATTTATACTTTATGGTATTTCAATTGTGTATGCGTGGGAAAATTTTGGTCGCTCATTTTGTGTTGCCGCCTAGGACTCCACCACTCCGACATACCCTAACATATTTTCATACTTTTCTTAATAATGACTAAATAGATATATATTTTTTAATCATGACAACATTCACATATTATCTTCAGGCATTATGCCGTGAATAGCCTACATAATTTGCATCCAACTTCCACTACAGCCGTTCACTACGGTTTGACGACAAACATTATTATTCATAACTTAAAAGAATATTTTGTGACCTTTTTATTCACGAGGATAAGCTCATACTGTTTATATTGATGAGGAATTCTGTGCTGATGGCAGGTTCAGATATCTGTAATTCTCAAGCAAGATGTTGAATGATGTTGAATCATAATCTACAAGATTTCTATTTGAATATGTGTTTGATTGGACTATATTGAAGTACCAATCACAAATTGCTAGCACTCCTCCACGATCTCTTGTAAGTCTTGCATATATAGGTTTATTAATTTCTTGCAGATAGGTTTTCATTTGTTTTGATTTCTTTTTCTCTATCATATCAACATCTTGCTCATTTTGTATCTTCTATACAGGGTTCTGGAGTAGGACCTACTCTGGGTTGGCACCAATTCTTGGTAATGTTAATAGGCAATCTGGTCGTTGTTTTGCTAACTGTTCCTTTGGGGGTCTGCTATTAAGTTTGTTACATTTGTTTATGTCATAGAATACATTATGTTTAACTTTTTTATTAAAAAATTTCCTCCTTCATGTTTGCTCCAATACATGTTTTATCTATTTCCTGACCAAGTGCTTCTGTGCCACTCAATTATTGTATTTCATTAACATGGTCATTTGTTCTTAGACCTAACATAGATAAAATGTGTTTATAATATCTTCATTTTTATTAACTACTGTCAAAAATACATTTCCCAGACTAGCATTTACTAAATTTTGTACTTGAAAACTTTAATTTAGATGGTACAGAAGGGAGAACAAGTGGTTGGTTAGGAGACCCTTCTCGTCGTCGTACATCGGAATAAGCCGTAAATACAGACAATTTACTAAAAAAACACGGGTAGCAAATGATTCAAAAGAGGCTTTGGTGAATCAATAGTTCTATATGTCATTGTTTTTAGCCTATGATAAGTTAGGTTTAGTGGATCTATGCGACATCTGAATTTCATTCTAATAAGAAACTTATTGGAGCCCAATCTAAAGTGAACTCTACAGTAAATATCATTTAAACCTGATCCATATCTGGAAAGACAATTTGTTTATTTTTAGTTATAGTCTCATGGTTTCCACCTTTGGTTTCATCTGCAATTGATTTTATCAAAGATAGAACTGCTATTTTAAGAGTATGATTCTTTGGTTCTTTGCCTTCTCAAAAATTCTTGCTCTATACTATCTTCGCAATTTTTAAGAATCTTGCAGTTTACTTTGATTCGATGAATTTCATAGACATGTAATTAGAAAATCTCACGCTCGTAATAGGTATAAGTAGCTTACCGTTAGAAAGAAATTTGGAACCATTAAAGCTCAAAATATCCAATGATAAAGAGAGATACTTATAGTATCTCTATTGTTTATTGCATGACTATCAATTGTTTTGAGAAGATAGAAATAAGTAGGATTAAAGAAAAATGTAATTTCATTATTCAATCCTTTTGAAATTTTAAATTCTATCCATATGTTTGATACATGGTTTAAATTAAAGAAATCTTAATAAAATGAATCAATAATAAAATAATAAATTTAAAAAATTACCACGTGCATTGCACGTGCAATCCAACTAGTAATAACAATAAAGTGGGTTTTGTTATAAGACTAATAAAGTAGAGTAGAGAAAGTAAACAAGAAGTAGAAAGAATTTTATTTTCTCAATTTCTCATTGCAAAGTGAGATAAGAATAACTCTATTTATATACAAACTAAGATGATGATACATGAATCATATTAATTACTCATAGAGAATATCAAGGAGTAATACATATATCAATCTCTTTGGGAAACTAAATGGACATCCACATCATTTAATTGCTTCATAACACCCCCCTCGGATGTCCAACATTACATAAAGAATATGCCTCGTTAAAACCTTACTAGGAAAAACCAAGTGGGAAAAAAATCCTAGTGAAGGAAAAAGAGTACACTATTCTTGTGTATTAGTTTCTCTCTGACCCTGATTCAAATATCATTTGAGATCTTTCAACCGACACATTTCAATATTTTTTACCAATTTCTCAAAAATTGCAGTCGGCAATGTATTGGTGAATAAATCTGCCAGATTATTACTCGATTGATTTTTTTTTGCACAACAATTTCACCATTCTTTTGCAAATCTTTTGTAAAACCGCTTTAATACCTTCTGGGTATAAGCAGTTTAATGAACAAAAATCTCATTTTCCAAATGCTCAATTTGTAAACCAAGGCAAAATTTGGTTTTCCTAAAATCTTTGATCTCAAATTTTTTCTTCAAATATTCAATTGCCTTTTGGAGCTCTTCAGGGGTTCCAATCAGATTAAGGTCATCAACATATACATTAATGATCATAAAATTTGACCCATTCTTTTTTATGAAAACACATGGACATATAGGGTCATTTGTATAACCTTCTTTGACTAAACATTCACTAAGGCGGTTATACCATATTCGTCCAGATTGCTTGAGTCCATACAAATATCTTTGCAACTTAATGGAGTACATTTCTCTAGGATTTGATTTATATGTTTCAGGCATGCTAAATCCTTCAGAGATTTTCATATAGATATTATTATCTAATGTTCCATATAAATAAGCAGTGACTACGTCCATCAGACGCATATCAAGTTTTTCATGTACTACTAAACTCACAAGATATCTAAATGTAATTCCATCTATTACTGAAGAATATGTCTCATCATAATCAAATCCCGGTCTTTGTGAAAATCCTTGGGCTACAAGTCTTGCTTTATATCTCACAATTTTATTTTTCTCATTTATTTTCCTCACAAATACCCATTTATATCCTACTAGCTTTACACCTTCAGGTGTTTGGACTACAGATCCAAAAATTTTTGTTTAGCCAGTGAATCTAATTCAGATTAGATCATATCTTTCTATTTTGATCAATCATTTCTTCACCAACATTCATCAACCGATCTGGGTTCATGATCCTCGTCTTCTTTCATAATATCAAGTGCTACATTATATACAAATACATTATCGACAATTACTTCTCTTCGGTTCCAACTCTTTCTCGTAATGATAAAATTTATTAAATTTTCTATAGTTTCTTCATTCTTTTCAGGAGTTGGCTCTTCAAGAGCGACCTCTTCAAGAGGTTGAATTTTGTCATTAGCAATATTTTGATCATTCGATCCTCTTTTTTTCGAGGATTCTTATCTTTGGAACCAAGAGGTCTACTACGCTTCAGGCGTGCTTTAGATTCGTTAGCACTTTTAATTTGTCCTTCTGGGATATCAATTTTAATCGGAGCATTTTCTGCTAGAATATGCGATTTAGTAATTCTTCTAGAATCACTAAAAGCATCAGATAATTGGTTTGTAATTTTCTGTAAATGTATAATCCTTTGAACTTCCAGTTCACATTCTTTTGTACGATGATCAAGAAAGTCTAATGATATTTTTCAAGTAATTTCCTTTTTCGGTTGATCTTTACCTCCCCTTAATGTCGAGAAATGTGATTCATCAAAATGACAATCTATAAATCTTGCAGTAAATAAGTCACCTGTTAATGGTTCAACATATTTAATTATAGAAAGTGATTCATACTCTACATATATCCCCAATCTTCTTTGAGGGCCCATTTTAGTACGTTGAGACTGTGCAATAGGAACATATACCGCACAATCAAAAATTGTTAAATAAAAAATATTGGGCTCGTGGCCAAGAACTAATTGTAAGGGAGAATAAGTATGATAACTTGTCGGCCTAATTCTCACAAGTGTCGCTGCATGTAATATAGCATGTCCCCAAGCAGATAGAGGAAGTTTAGACATCATGTTATAAAACTAATAAAGTAGAGTAGAAAAAGTAGACAAGAAGTAGAATGAATTTTATTTCCTCAGTTTCTCATTGCAAAGTGAGATAGGAATACCTCTATTTATATACAAACTAAGATGATGATACATGAATCATATTAATTACTCATAGAGAATATCAAGGGGTAAATACATGTATCAATTTCTTTGGGAAACTAAGTAGACATCCACATCATTTAATTGTTTCATAACAGGTTTTATTTTATTCAAACAATTGATGATATTACAATTACACCCAACAAACAACAAACACTTCCAACAGAACAACAAACAACAAACACTTATTTTTCACACACCCAAATTGCATCCGACTTACTCACTCCAATTGCCACAAGAAGGGCGCATCCGCATTCACATCACTACAATACAAGCAAGGATGTTGCCCAAATCCTTGTTTCCTCAACAACTTCCTTGCTTTTACCACTATCTCCTTGTTACTCATTACATTCTCCTCCTCTTGGAGCACCAGCTGTATCGAATTACTAAACGCGCCGTACGCCTTCCCGCCCTCCTCGTTGGGGCTCATGTCCGCCGATGTCTCGTTCGTCTGGCACCCGCTCAGCAGTATCCCGTTATCAGGATGGACAAGCACTGCATCTTTGTCTGAGAATTTTGCGCTCGCGTCTGGTCCGAAAATGTTTAATAGATGGTCACCAATGTGTTGGGAGTCTATGCTGGAGAGGGACGAGACGTGTTGTAGGATGTGTTCGTAGGGGATGGTTTTTGCGCGATGGAGAGGGGTATTCTGGTCATTTACGGTTGAAGGACCGATTTGCTCCTTTTCTTTGTCGATGAGTCCGCCGCTGTGGCATGAGTCGGATATTATGGTGAAGCTCACACCGGGTGGTAGGCGATCGACAAGCTGTCTGAAGTCTACATCTGTAGACATTCAGAAATATTAGAACAACTTTTCATGAATATGTAATTAAATTTGAGGATTGGGTAAATTTAGTAGAGAGTCATGGAAGTCAATTTTAAAAGTACCGAGATTATGTGCAGCCAAAACCTGTAAATACACCAAGCAAAAGACCTGATACAATATGATTAAGGTTCCATGAAAAAGATTATAATTAAAGTTATTTACACATATACCTCTTGGACTATCACTGTTTTGAACTTAATACCCACTTAGCAGATTGACCCATAGATGAATTTTTTGTTTTAACTCTCTTACCCTTTAGCCAGTGCAATCAACCTACAAACAATAGACCGTAAAAGCCCAGAGGTAGGCCTAAGAAAACTTGGTTTTTAACAACTTAGAAATATTTGTTGATAATTAACTTAATGAATCAGATAATCCTTAACTGAACTGAATAGGAGTAGAAAAATTTATCATGCAGTCAATCCCGAAAATTTGGAATAAGGTTTTACTAGACCTGATTCAAACCTGACAACTATTTATAGTTAGGCTCAAACCCAAACTCATACCTGTAACAAGATTGAAATCACAAGGAACAATGGCCTCATCTCTCTTAGCTTTACTCCCATGATGAGGCTTCACCGCCGGAATCAGCGTCCCATGACCACTATAATGAAAGAAGAGAACATCCCCGGGCTCAGCCCGGTCGACCATCTGCCGGAGAGCCTGCCGAATGTTGGCTCCGGTGGGCATAACAGGCGAATCAGGCGCATCCGTTAGGATCTCAATGTTATCTGGTTTGAAACCGAACCGCTCGATAAGGACCTTGTGCATGGACTGAACGTCGTTGATGCAGCCGTGGAGCTCGTTGCGAGTGTTGAAGTAGTTGCACCCTACTAATGTGGCTAGTCTTTTGTTTCCTTGTTCCATGGATGAAAGATTAATTTTGGTTGAATTGAAGAGACTTTTTTGGTTTTTATGTTGAACGTTGAATTGTTGTTGTATTTATAGTTGTAAAAGCGGGAGAGAGATTTAGCTCCATGGATGAATGTTGGCTATGTTTTCTTGTTGCTTCTAAGTTATAAATGCTTCAAATTGAAGGGCACATAACTTGAGGAGTGAGTCTTGCTTTGAGAAGTTAAATTGAATTTGAATGAGGTCATGTAAGCAAGGTTTAGACATATTTGAAGCCACTCATTAGATGGCCTACTATTGTAGTTTTGGCGGCAAGATCATTTTATGGTGTTGATACCGTGTTGTATACTTCCTCAAGGGAGACTAGACAGTAGCTAAAGTGAGTATATACAAATAACTCTGAGATAAGTGTTGGGGAATTTTAGTCCCCCGCGTACTACGATCTCCGCAACTCGGAAGCCAACTCACAATCAACAAGATATAAAACAACCAAAATGAAGAAGAAAGTACACCGAGATTTACAAGAAATTTACTATGTATCAGGGAGAATTACAAGAGGAACCACTCAACTCTCGCCTCTCAATCTTTCAACCTTACATACATAATCAACCCTCATATTCTCTCCAAAGCCCTCTCCTTACAATCTTTTGAACGGATAAAGACTGCGAAACCCTCTCCCAATGATGTCATTTTTTGCACGGACAAAGACTACGAAACCCTCGCCTCTCGCACAATATTCTTGAATCAGGCTACGCCCTCTGCTAACCCTAAATTACAAGAATATTGACTCTCTCTCTTCTGGTTGGTTTTTCATCCAACAACAGAATAATATATATATGAAAACCAAAACCCTATCTCTAGCCTAACTTCCTAATAAGAATAGGATTCAAACTCTTAATCATGATGAGACCCAATCTCCTAATCATGATAGATCTTTAACTCTATCTAATTCTCATAAAGTTATACAAAGAATTAAAGACACGATCCTAACAATAAGGCCAAGAAAGTTTGGAAATATCACTCTACTTTCAAAACTGTCGCAGTTTTCTGAATCTATTTTCTAATATCCTCCTACCATTTGGGGGTCATCAAAAAGGTTCGAGAGATGAGTGACATTTCTGAACTTCTGTTGTCTCAAAACGAGCCCAACTCTTTGGGTTTTGTGAAACTTACTCCCTTTTGTTTTCATTTGGCTAGTCGACACATACATCTTTGAGAATAAACTAGAAAAATGCTATTGTTTATCAAAATAGCCAGTCAATTTACGCTTAATGCAATTTATCCTGAGGAAAAGGATGAAGTTAGTTAAATGGTACTGAGCCAACTTGGACCCCCAAAAAGGTGTTTGCTCTTCATCTTTGCTTTCACGTCTAGTGCAAAGCCTAGCCATAGTTTAGTCAGGTTGAGTGAGGACTTGAGCAATTGTAGATTCCTTTCCCCTGTA